TGGCGCCGGGCCGGGACACAGCCCCGCGGGATGGGGGGAGGCCGGCGGAGGAGGAAGGGCATTGTGGGCGGGGCGCCGCGGACTTGACCCTCTGACGGAGGCTGGGCCCGGGTGATCTGGGGACAGCCTGGCCGCCTAGGTGGAAGGAGCCTCAATAAGTGGAGACCAGCAGTCCTGCCTCTGGGCAGGCAGGGGGACGTCTGGGGGTGTTACAGAGCCAGGCCTGCTGGGTGTTGGGGTGGGGGTGAGCGCCCCACTTCACAGGACCAAGGGCAAAGGGTTGGGGTGGCTGGGAAGAGGCTGGATGGTGGCTCAGGGTGGGGGCAATGGCCAACACCTGCCTAGAGGCCAATGCTCCATGCCGTCCCAGGTGGGATTCTGGGGGAGCGAGGCCGGTAGGGGTGCATTTCAGAGAGCTGCCAAATCCAGGGAGTGGCAAGGGCTTCCAGAAGGAGAGTTCCCCCCCCAGGAGGTGCCACCAGACCCAAAGGAAGTCTGGGGGCCACAGAAGATGGAAATTGGCGGCAAGGCCCAGAGGGCGAAGGGGGAGCCGGCTGTGAGGCCCGACACCCTCTGCTCCATGCCTCGGCACCCACCTGGCCACTCCTGCGCCTGTTCACTTCCCAAACCCAAAGCTTCCCGCCCTCCTGGTCCCTCAACTCCTGCAGGCTCCCCCTTTCTATGTTCAGTTGTTCCCGCCAAAAACTCAGGCAGGCATGTTCCTGGCTGGCTCGGTCCCTGTCCCTTCGTATGCCACCTGCCACAACCCTGTCTCCTCCTGCATGTGCGTGGACTGGTACAGTAGGCATGCCAGCCTGCACAGCTGGGCTCGCAAAGAGCCTTGCACACGGTGCTGCATCTGTGCAGAGTCCACAGGCTGAGGGTTGAGCTCCCAGCAAGGGCAGTTATGGGCCACACAGGCGGGACAGCCTCCCATAGCTGGGGGCGCAGTGGGTGGGGACAGCAGGGAGGGACTGGCTACCCCACATCCCTCCTCCCTCCTGGAGGTCAGGCTGCCTGGGCCCTTGGCCCTACCGAGGGCACCTCCTGCAGGGGCTCTGTGCCTGGGCAGGGGGATCAAAGCTCACACCTGCCTCCAGCCACAGCTGGGGCCAGGTGCCCAGGTTCAGCCAGCCCACCCTCCCTCCTGGAGGCCAGATCGCCTGGTATCATGTGCCAACTCCTGGGCCACCTTTATCAGGGAGCTGGGTGGGGGATGGTTATCGCCCCGCAATGTTGGGGGAGCCCTCCCCATCCCACCAGCTGGGGTACCAGCCAATTCCAGCTGCAAGGGCCTGGCTCCACCCTCCAGATAAGTTGCCGGTTTCCAGAATTGTCGCCCCACCAGAAAATGCCATTCTGGGGCCAGCTGGTGGTATGGAGGTGAAGGAGGCTGGATCCGGCAGGGCACACTGCAGTTTGAGTCCTGGGCGCGGTGGTTTGAGACAAGCAGGGTGCCTGTGTGCGCGCGCACATATGCGCGTGCCCACGATCCCGAGAGGAGTGCAGAGGGACCGCAGGTGGTCATCCCTCCGAAAAGGAAAATGCCAACCAAATCCGAGGGAGCGCACGTTCTACCTGGGCTGGGTCTCCCTGTCCCCCTCGGGCCCCCTTCAGCAAACAGGACGGGGCAGACGTCACCCTATCGGGGCAGTTACCTTGAGCACCCACCCTGGCTGCGAGCTGGGGCTCAGGAAGGGGCACTGGGCCTCCAGCAGCCCACTTCGCACGGCCCATCTCTCCCACCTGACGGAGGATGGTGGATGGTGCGGCCTCGGGGCTAATCCCTCCTCCATAAACGGATTTTCCTCTGCAGAGCCCAGCCGACCCACCCTCGGATTAAACACAGCCTCGGCCCACCCAGCCCCGCCAGGCCCGGGTCTAGGCTGAACCCCCCCCCGGCCCCCCCCAGCCCCGCCAGGCCCGGGTCTAGGCTGACGGGCCTCTCCATCACCAGACGGCCACAGCTCCGAGCTCCAGGAGAATGACGGCCGCCCTGCCCAGCCCCACCGCGAGGCCCGCCACCGCCCTGGCACAGCGGGACTTTAGAGAACAGTGGGTTACAACCCCAGCGACCCTGCAAGCCTCCAGGGGACACTGCGTGAGGTCCGGGGACGCCCATGGGTATGACAGGGGTGCTCGGGCGTGGAGTGGGTGGAGCCAAGGGACCCTGGACGAGAAGCCCTGTGGGGTCTGGGCACCGCCACAGAAGGGGGGGGAGTTTGAGACTCCCGCCCACGAGAAGCCACAGCTGTGTGCCGGCTCCTGGGGGGCAGCGGGCCAGCCCGCGGATGAAGGGGGCCCGGAGCAGTAGACAGCCAGCCTCGCCTCCCGCCCCCGCCCCACCTCCCTGGCTCACTCGCCGTATCCACGGCAACAGCGTCACCATCACTCACAGCCTCTGAGGGAGGCAGGGGGTGGGGCTGCTGGGTCCTCCACTCCACAGCCCCCTTCCCACAGGCCGGGCTGCCCAGCGGGGCCGGGCCAGGA